TTTAAGCATGAAAACATTAAAACATGAAAACTCGTATTGAAAGCATGAAAACACAAATCACAAAGGACTTTCAAGGGTTGCAATGAGGCTTAGTTTACAAAGAAGGGTCATATCTTAAGGTAGTTGAAACAAAATTTTCCTAAACCTATAAGAGCATTCACTTCTCAAATTTTCAAGCATATACAATTTTATTTTACCCTTTTCAAATGTTACACCCTTAAACTCAAATGTTGGTATACAATGCTTGCCAATTTTATTCTCTTTCAAAGCTTTTCTTTTTCTTTTCCTTATTCTTTTTATTTTTCAACCACTTTCTTATTCAAAACTTAGTAACCAACATTTTCCTCCTCAACTTGAATACAACCACATATTATAACAATAATGCTCCCATACCTTCTAAGGCAGGGGAAAAAAATTCAAACAACAATTTATGGTTGATGGTTCAAGAAAAAAAATCAAAATCCATTCGAAAATCAATGAGGAACTAATTACTCGTGCACAAGTATCATAGTTCCACTAGAATATAGATCCTGACAAAAAGGCTCAAAAGGGTTAACTAATTCTCACTCACTCACAAGGTAGGTTCATTTATTTGGTCTAGTGGTTATGCTCAATTTCAAAAAAAAAAAACCTTGATCATTGTCATGCTTTCAAATAATTCAACACAAATGCAAGATTAAACATAATAAAACTTAGCTAAAATAAGAATTATTGGTCTCCTGTGCATATAGTGAACAACGGAAAGCTTCCTCACAATTGGGGTATGATCTAAAGTGATTCAATCGTGAAACTTGTAGTGCAAAAGAATGAATGGTATGGTATTTATACAAATTTTAAGTTTCATATTCATGCTATAGTTTAGAAAGCAATAAACATGTACATTGACCTTGTATCTATTTTTCAACCTTTTATCATTACCATAACATTTGCATGTTGATGCATTCAAACTTGGAATACTCACTAGTTGCCTCCTCAAGTCAATAATAAATAAGCATTGAGAACAAACTCAATTTTTTTGTTAAAACTCTTGAAATTAAACTAAACTACTAGACTTGGAATTAAATTAAACTAAACTACTATAATTTAAAATTGGGTTGCCTCTCAGGAAACGCTTGTTTAATATCGTCAGCTCGACGCCTTTATTTAGTAGATGCTCCTTCTTGGTGATTCCTTTTTCTTGGCTAGTTTATCCTTCACCTAAAGTTACTCCTAACCAACAATTGAGCGAACTTTATGCAAAACAAAAAATATATACAATACGGAAAAATGTACAAAGCTTAAAAAGAAAGAACTATTGCGATGCTTTTAACATCTAAACACCAATCCCCGGAAATGACACCATTTCGTTGTTGTGGTAAAGCAGCAAGCGAAAGTAAGTATTTTTGTTTTATTGTCTCCACATGGATTAGTGCGATATCAATGCCGCTCAATAGTCACTATGTTTTAAAGCTTAACTTTGCAAGGGTTTTGAAAGTAAAGATTGCAGAATTTAAAATAAGTGAATGACAAATGGATTTTCAGAGATGTGAGAACTTGTCAAGATTGAATTTTATCTACTGACAGAATATGCTATCTTACTAATCAGTTGTACACAAAACAAAAATGTATGCAAAACAAAAATATATACAATATGGATAAATGTACAAAGCTTAAAAAGATAGAACTATTGCGATGCTTTTAATATCTAAACATTAATCCCCGACAACAACACCATTTGTTGCGGTAAAGTAGCAAGCAAAAGTAAATATTTTTATTTTATCGTCTCCACATGGATTAGTGCGATATCAATGCCGCTCAACAGTCACTATGTTTTTAAGCTTAAGTTTGCAAGGATTTTGAAAGTAAATATTGTAGAATTTAAAACAAGCGAATGACAAATGGATTTTCAAAGATGTGAGAACTTGTCAGAATTGAATTTCATATACCGACAAAGTATGCTATCTTACTAATCAGTTGTACGGAATCTAAAAATTCATCAATATCTTCGCGTATCGCTCATGAAAGAGTTTATGTCTAACCTCTTATGAGATTAGTTATGAACCTTGATCATATCTAACCGGTTTTGTAGGTTCTACCATATTGTTTAATCAAAGATGTCTTTACTCATTAAATAATACGACACATTAAGAACTAATACTCACAGTGAATGTTAGCCTAAATCTATGTCCAGTGTTTAGAATCTAACAGATGTTTATCTTAGTTCGAGTTCAAACCGTATTTGTCAATAACAATCCAAACCCATTGAGATAAAGTCTATAACAAAGATAACATCAATATAAATTTCAAGAATAAACTATATACAACACCATGTTCAACAAAAATACATACTAATACGGTAAACTACATTTAATCCCAACAAGAAAGGGAATTAGCTACACATGACTACTAAATACAAAATGAAGAGTGAAGAAGAATATAAATCTACCACAGTGTCCCGTCAATTGATGCAAACCTCACTCCATTTATTCAAAATACACCCTTCTCTTGTTGTTTTCCAAGGATCTCACACTCCCAAAATGGTCTTAGGTATGAAAACCCCCAAAAAAAAAAAACAAAAGCTCCTCAAAAATCTGTTTTGAAACTATATATACAAAATCTATTCAGACAAATTCGTCTGACGCCCAAAAGATTCACCCAGCCAAATGTCACTTTCCACATGCATCAGCTTGCACAAAATACACATATTGGAACAAAATATCTGAATTCGCCCCGCGAATAAAAGTTTTTCCCGGCAAATTACTTGCTACAAGCTCTCCCAGCGAACAAGCCCACATTTTCCTCTAGAAAGCTACTAGAATTCATCAGGTGTAGCTCACTCCTTGCTTGCCCAGCGACCTTAGAGCGAGGAATCCACTCATTGCTTGCCCCAGCTTCGCCCGGTGAAATTGCTAGGACAGAAGCTCCTTCCCTTGCTTGTCTCTTTGCTTTTTGAATTTTCTTTTATGCTTATGCCTTCCTATTTTAAGCTTGATCCATCACTTTTCTGCACAATAATACACAAATCAAATATTCTACTACTATATACTAAAAATAGTAAATTCTAGCAATACTTGGGGAAAACGGTATTCGAAAACACAAAACGGAACTGAAAAGTACCAAGTTTTAAAGCGGAAATTTAGACATATATGGAACTCATCAATAGCCAATACACTTGCAGTGAGAGTAAAAATTTGGAATATTTCCATACTCCAGTTCCAAAAAGAAGGCAAAACTAGATTATTCCACAAGCACTTTGAATATGGGCTCCTTCTTGAGGTTCATATCAATTAGAACACGTACAAAATATCCATAATCACGACCAAACCATGATTTATTAGTTGCAACATCAATGCATATTGGTGTTCCAACGCTACTAACTATTGCAAATAAAATTTTAGGTCGTCAATATTCCTGCGACAAGCAATGAAACCTGGCCCAAACCTAAGCATGATTTTGTTGAATCCTATTAGGATTAAAGTCGTTAGAGCAAGAAAATAGTTTCAGAAACCCTAGATTAAAATTCCAAGAGCCAATGGAATGGACACTTTGGAGTTCCTCAAAAGAAGATAAAGATAATTTGAAGAAACCTTTCCTTAGAGACGTGAGTCCTAGTTTAGAGAGGGATTTCTAAAGATAAATTAATTTGGCGCGCAAAGCATTTAATCTTAAAGGGGTGGCACCTTTAGGCTAAATGGTCCTCCAATGTAGATTAAGTTTGCAAGCTTCACTACCCGCATGGTATTCTTCTCTTGGGATAAAAATGGCGAGACACTCACCTTTAAGGTAGGTTTGAGGTAGTTGACTAAGTGGAATATCACAAACATTACTAACTACTTGAGCAAAAGAGTCTTACACCAAGAGGAACAAGGGTCAGTTTAGGGGGTGAAGGGAAGATGGTTGTCTAGACAGGCCTAAGTGGTGATGATCGAGTTCATGTTAAGGCAAAAAATATATAACAGAGTGTTAGTGGTTCACGGCGGAACAAAGACTCTTACCATTTCATCTAAGTGGTCTTGGATAGAAGCGTATGGTTTATGATAAGCTACTCCATTCATTTTTCAATATAAATAAAAAAAATTAAATTTTAAATTTATTAAATATATGATGTTTCTTCAAATATAATCATAAAAAGTAATAAAAATTATAAATCCTTTTTAAAGTCATATCTATCTTTTAAACAATTTCTATTTTTAAATTTATATTATATGGAATGTTTAATATATTTTCTTATAATAAAAATGGAAGGTAGTTAAAGTAATATTTTCATTCAACTTTTAACATGTTTTTTTCATGAATTTAAAGTAATTTTTTTAAAGAAAAATTAAATTAAATAAAAACTTTAAGTTTTTTTTACCCAAAGAAATAGTTTTTGATCAAAACTCTTAAAATAATTTTGTTTTAAAGAATTTTATCTATAACTATATTTTAAAATTTTCTATTGTGTAAAAGTATTATTTATTTAGAATGAAAATTTTCATATAATTATTTTGTGATAATACATAATGTAATTTAACTTTATTTTTATTTTTGTAATATTTAACTTTTTACTTTTTTTTACTCATTTTAATTATATTTACTCGCATAGGACAATTTTATGGACTGAGATTTGCTAAAATCATAAACTAAACACAATCATTCAATTACGCATTGGTGGTCGTCCGATTAATATCAAAATAGTAATACTTTTAAATTTATAAAAAAAAAACTATTTAATCAAAATTTTAAACTACTATTAATATCATGATTACGTGACCGTTCGATTTCATATTTTTATAGAATATTCATTACTTTTTTATTTCTTATTTTTTAAGATGTGATTATATTACCAATAAGATACAAAATTACTCTTCCAAATAAGTAAATGGTTATAGTAACCATATAAAATCTTTTACATGAATATTCAACCATATTCAACGAATCTCAAATTTTAAAAAATGTAAAATTCTTTTATTCTCATTAAACATAGAGTTTTATATATAACTCCACATGTTATTGTTGTTTTCATAGCTTGTATTTTACACATGGATTTTTCAATGAAGCTCCCTTCTTCTCATTCTTTTCTAACTTTAATTTCCACTATAATTCTCCACTTGATATTTTTCATTTCTCTTTGCTTTGAAGCAAATGCAAAAGTTGAACTTCCGGAAAATGTTTTAATTCCAGCATTGTTTGTGTTTGGAGATTCAATTATGGATACGGGAAATAACAACTTCAAAAAAACAATAACTCGATGCGACTTTGCACCATATGGAAAAGATTTTCCTGGAGGAGTTGCAACCGGTCGATTTAGCAATGGAAAAGCTCCATCAGATATTATAGGTTTGTATACAAATTTACGTAACATCGATACCTTTAAAAAATGATGTGTTACTATTAGATATCTGCATTGCATTGACACTTGTAATTACATTTAATTTATTAATTTTTTTAAAATTATTGATTATCACCGTTTCAATATTGATATCATATTTGAAGTATATATATATATATATATATATATATATATATATAACTCTGAACTCAACAATATGAAACGAGTTGTTAGTATCACTATCATATATATTTCTTGTGTATCAATATAAATCTATTACTCATGTAATATATTTTTTCTTCTTTTATATAAAATATTTTCAGCTGAAGAATTAGGTATTAAAGAATTTCTACCTCCATATTTGGATCCAAAACTCTATGCTACTGAATTGGCAACTGGTGTGTGTTTTGCATCAGGTGGTTCTGGCTTCGATCATGTTACATCAAAATTGTTGGTAATATACATGAAAAAATTTGATAAAATAAAATAAAAAATACTTCACTTTTTTAATTCACAAATTTTTTCTAACATTGTTTATTTGCTTATTATCAGAATGCAATACCTTTATCAAGCCAATTGGACTCATTCAAAGAATATATCGAGAAGCTTAAAGTATCTGTTGGAGAATATAGAACAAATGAAATTTTAGTGAATAGTATTTTTATTGTGGTGTTTGGTAGCAATGACATTTCCAACACATATTTCTTAACTCGTTTGAGAAAAATTAAATATCCTAAATTTTCTGATTATGCTGACCGTTTGGTTAGTATAGCTTCCAACTTCACTAAGGTATGGCTAAATAAATTTAATACTTAGTTATGGTTATTGTTTAAATAATATAATATTTAATTTTTCATTAAAATTTCAATTGAAAGGAAATATACCAACTAGGGGCAAGGAGAATCGGAATATTCAATGTGCCGCCGCTAGGGTGTGTTCCGATGCAGAGGACGGTGGCGGGAGGACCCGAAAGAAAATGTGTTGAAGAATACAATAATGCAACAGTGTTGTTTAATGATAAGTTATCCAATCAAATCGATTCATTAAAAACTGACTTATCCGATAGTAAAATTGTTTATATGGATATTTACAGTCGCACACTCGATGTCATTGTGAATAGTCAAAATTATGGTAATTCTAATTTTTTTAATTTTAATTACAATTTTTTAATCAGTTTGTTAATTGAGTATTAAATTATGAATGCAGGGTTTGTAAATGAAGACAAAGGGTGTTGTGGCACTGGAAAATTAGAAGTTGGATTTTTATGCAACCGTTTTGGATCCATTTGCTCAAATGCCTCAGAACATGTGTTTTGGGACAGTTTTCATCCCACTGAAATCTTTTACAAAATCACTATACCCCCTCTACTCAAAAATTATATGAGCCAATTTTTTTGATTAGGTCTTTAATATAAGACATGGGTCAAATTGATGATAAAATTCATGACTGTCCATTATGTAAGAGCCATATTTTCAAAATAATAGTACGTCTTTAATCTGATTTTTTTTTTCCTTCTATTTTCCGAAATTTTAATTAGTTTTATTCTCTATGAATTTGAGAAAACTAAAGCCTATCACAATTACAAAACAACCCTTATAAACAACTCTTATTCTAAGACATGTGTTCTTCTTTGAGGATAAATTTATACTTGAATATAAAATATAAATTTTGAGTATTCAAATATTAATTTTCAATAAAAAATATATATTAATGAGTCACCTTTCAATAATTTATAAACAACTTGAACATGTTATATATTTCTTTTCTTATAAAAAAAGTACAGTGATATTTTGAGTAAAAAGAATTTTATTATAAAAACTGACAATTATTATCTATTGATCCTATGGTTTTCTTATATCACATCACTGCTTAGATTTTCTATGCTTTTCTTATATCATTTCATTGTTTAGATTTTTTTCCTATAAATGAATCACTACAAATACAAATGACATTTGCACATACAATTCTAATATGAGATAAATATTTGATGATCAAATAATATTTAAATTTTATTTTATATTTTCAAAATAAAATAATTTCAATATATTAATGTAAGTATAATTAATATAAAATTATACATGAGACTAATAAGTATCTAAATAAAATTAAAGTTAAATAAAAATATATTAATTTGAGTCTAATATCTATTAAGAAAAAATTGTTACCTCATTCATGAATTATTACTCTTTTTATTACTTTTAAATTGTGACATTTATTTTTGTTTTTTGAAATTTCAAAATTATGCTATTTCAACTACTAATATATTAAAAAATAGTTATAATTTAAAAAAAAAATTATAATCGTTGAAATAAAAATATACACTTAACAATAATTTTTATTGGAAAGATGCAATAGATTAGTGATGGAGTTTGAAAATTTTTTAAATAGAGTTACACTCTTCACCTTTCAAATTAATTTTGTAAGAATGTATTAAGTTAAAATTTTTAATTCTAATATGATATTAGAGCTTACTAATCGGACTATAGATCACCATCGTTAATTTCTACACACCAATTTTAATAAGTCGTGAACATGAAAAGGTTTATTGAGAAATTAGAACAAAATTTATATAGAGTGACACTTTTCATTTTACAAATCATTTTTGTATAGAAATGAGTTAAACTATTACAAGTCATTTTCATATAGAAATGAGTTAAATTAAATTTTAAGTATAATATAGTATCAGAGCCATAAACCGCCCATATTTATATCCACACCTTAAATTTATCTTCACGCATACTTAATAGAGTATTGGATGTGAAAAGTGTATTGAAGATATTTCTAATCATACATTGATTTGAGATAGAATTTGAAAAAACTTTATAAAGAGTAATATTTCTCACAGTACATACTGTTTTGTAAGGATAAATTATGCAAAAATTCTAATTCTAACCATTTTTCCATGCTTTAATTTTATTCAAACTGTTTCTCTAAAAAATCACTTAAAAGGTCGTTGAAACTTGCAATTCATATATTGAAAAATAGTTGTCACTAATCATTAATTAAATTTAAAATATTTAAAACAATTCTTAAATAAACAAAAAATTATAATATACTAATTTGAATCCAATATATATTTAATAATACTTTTTGCCGAAGGCACAATAAAATACTTTTTAACTTTAAAATCATGATATCTAATTATTTTTTTACGTTTCAAGCATTGTGTTATTTCAACTACTAATGCATTAAAAAAATTTATAATATACTCAAATTTATTTTTTCATCTATATCCTTATTTAATTAAATTTACTTTTTCATATATTCTAAATAAATATTAGAGATAAGTTTTAAGACCATATCCACTTTCTAATCTCTTTGGAGTCGTTTTTCATCGACACTGGTGGTGTTTGGTTGTTGTTTACATAGAGGTTCGACACTCACATATTATTAAATATATGATACTCTATTCGATCTGCTTTTGTGTTTTTCATATACGTAGATTTTATGAGTTTTGTGGTCGTTTTATCAGACATGTTGTTGAATTTTATTAAAATATAAAATTAAAAAAATTCAAATAAATTATTAAATTAGAAAAATTATTTAAAAAAAATTATTTAACTTTTAATTATTTTAATTTTATTTCAATAGATAATTGATGTAAATATAAAATTATAAAAACAAAAATATAAAAGAAAATAAAAATATAAAATAAAAGTGATAGAATATAATATTAAATTTTATTAAACAAAATCAGTAAACGTTGAATAGATATTGAATTATTAGTCGGAAGAAATAGAAGATAATATAAAATATAAAAGAAAAAAAAAATTGTTGAATATATGAATCATTATAAATAGTGTTCTTATAGATGATATTATCAAGAAACAACTTGTTGACTATTTTTTGAGATTTCATTATTTTAAAGGAAAGTAATTCCCTCACTTAAAAGAAATTCTAATTTATTAGTTCTACTTTAATTTCATAATCATAATGAATTTATATCGAAATAGAAAATAAAGGATAATAAATCACGTCATAACTTTTTCATAGATGTAAAAAATTTATTAATTTATTTAATTTGCAGCTTTTTGTAGAGAATACTATGCTTTGTGTAAAAATTTGATGTTTTTGCTCTACACCCTATGGTTAGACCTTAGTCAAATGCAAGTTGTGCCAGAGGTATAGTATTTTTGTTTCATAGGAATTAATTTTTTTATAAAGAAAAAGAAGTTTCTTGCAGTAAAGAATTATCAATAAAATAATTAATTAGTAAAATACACGTGCGTGTGTATGGATAATTTTATTTTTTTAGTTTAAACATTTTACTAAATAAATTGTTTATCATATAGTCTAATAAAAAATATTGGTAATAAATCGAAATGATAATACTATAGGAAAAACGCATAAAAAAGTATTAAATTTTAATAGAAAAGATAATACTATAGGAGAAACGGGTTAAAAAGTACTAAGTGGGTTGTTTACCATACATTCTTACCATAATATTTGATGATAATATTTGCGGTAAATCAAAATGTTAAATAAATTGTTTACAATAGTCTAAAAAATAATTATATATTTAGACTCATTGTTACATAGGAAAGACACGTAAATAAATATTAAAGGGGTTGTTTCAAAGTCAATATGTGGGATCAAAATGGCTTCAATAATATAGGAAAGAGTTCCCCGAAAGATGTCAAAGAGATTGGTAAGTTAGTGCTATGATATAATTAAATACACTCACTAAATCACATGTCATTTGAAAAGATAATTATGTATAATTATTGTAAGAATGATTAAAGTTATAGTTATTAAGCGAATTTAAATATATTATATAAGAGCTTCAATTGTTAAGCTAATTGAACAAAAAAAAAAATTTAATAGAAGAGCTTCAATTATATACGATGTTGTGAAAAACTTATTTAAAGATTATATTAGTTGTTTGATTTAATAGATTCTTGTTTTTGTCATGAATTAAGATTTTCAAGCTAATTTTATTTTTCATCTTGACATAGCAACATATAGTTGTCCGTGACTGAAAATGTCTTTCGACAAATATAGATCAACACACTCTAATGATTGTCTTTGAAATTTGTTTATTGTCATTGTAAAAGAGACAATGATTGGGAACTACCTTCGAATAAGTTTGAATGGCTAGGAAGATTGTGAAGAAGACAAAGACATTCGAGATATGAAAATAGTGTTTCCAACATGTGTACCTGAAATAATCTTAGCTTTTATGACATGATTTGTTAGCTTTGTCACCATCAATCTTTTGCCATAGCAAAGTTCTTTGGATTGATCCAAATTACGTATCAACATGATAGTTGTTTCAATCTTTAATCTCATTGAATGGTTTGGAAATTATGAAGTCTTCAAACAACTTAAGAATTTAGGTGTCAAATGCTCGAAAGCATCATTGTCATTAACTTCAGATCAGTAAATAGAATCACTACTTAAATACTCTTTTGCATCACCTAAACAAAATATAAAAAAATGACAATGAGAATAACTTAATCAGAAGTTGTGATGTGCAAGGTATGAGAATAAATAATAGTACCTGGTATGAGACTTGTAATGTAATCATTAATTTCATCCAATATCTCAATAATTGATGCTAAAATAGTTCTACTCTTAAAGAAATTAGAACCTGTGTAATTTTTCAGAAGATTTGGATAAGTACTTTTAATAATCTTATCAATTGGATCCACATAATTAGTTAGAAATAACTAAGGTGAAATAGTAATTTCAGCATAACTATCATTTAGTTCACAAAATTTTCCATCTCCCACTTATAAAATTCATTTAGACAATTTCTTAATCTCTCTTGCATTGGTTGAATTAGACCCAACTTCCAAACGCATATTTTTTTTGTAAGTGTTACAACCTTACAAGTGGTGATGATGTTGCGCACGAAATGAGGTAGATTAAGCATAAAAAAGCAAGAAAAGTACAATCCAATAGTTTTTGCAGCATATTAAATTATGTGGAAAGAAAATATTCAAAGGGTATTAATATAATAAACTACATAGGTTGAAAAGGTATTTTTTTTGCTGCATTAGTTGATGTTCCTTTCTTTAAACACGCTCAACATACTTGCTTTAGCACAACTTGAAGATCATTTGAAGGATTATTACTCCTTTCTTCAAAAGTCTGCAATAAAAATCACCTATAGACACGAGACAATCACAATATGTATTTTAAGAAAACAACCTAAGAATCACTCATATATAATCATCGTTAATAGGGATCTTTTATGCAATTTAGTTATGTGGCATGGCTTAATTTATGTTCCTGTTATAAATATGTTGTTATTAAAAAAATTAATAAAAAATAATATTGTAAAAGGGGCAAGCATGATAGTTTATTAAAACTTTCTATCACTGCATGTAAAAGTTCATGCATTTGAGTTGATTGTATTATAGTTGCTTCTAAAATAAACAAAAAATAAAGAATC